TTGCTTTCCCAACCCCTGGGGAAAAAAAAAAAAAAAAAAAAGCCCCCCGGTTTTAAAGGGCCCCGGGGGCAAAAAGGTTTCTTCCCCCCCCCCCCCCCCCCCCCGCACGCGCTGAACTCCTCGAATCCGAGGCACCTATGGGCTACCCACTTCCCACCCCTCTATAAGCAGGCTTACATGGTTCTGAGTGCACGTGTACTCCCTTGGCATGCTGAAAGGTAATGGTTCCAGAAATACGCCCCCCGAAAACTGTGCGCGTAGACTAGAACAGCTCATCTTGGACCTTTCCCCTGTGCCTAAACTGCTACACCTCACTTGAAACGCCCTGCTTTTTCCGCTCAGCCGAAGAATCAGCGGCCTTTTCGCAATGGCTGCCTGGTGCTATGCTTCTTCTGCTCAACTCACCCCCAGCACTTCGGTAGTCACTTCTCCGACGTCCCCACCCCCCTCATCCCTGCTGTGCGTGCCTACCCCCCGGCCCCGGCCCACATTTCGCCGGGTTTCGAGACTGCCCTCCTTCCTTACTCCCCCCCTCCCCCGCATAATCTTTGCTGCCGCTCCGGCGGTGTCCTTGCCCGCACCAGGGCGACAAAGGAAGTTCCCTTCTTCGTCTATCGGTGTGGCTGGTACTCGTTGTTGTTGTTGCTGCTGCTGCTGTCGCGTTGTCGTTGAAAAAGAAATAAATACACTTCCGAAGGTCTCTGGTCCTGCTGTCGCTTCCATCATCCGTCATCTCACGACTCCCCCCCCCCCCCCCCCACGGTTGTCCCGCTAGAGACCGTCTTTCGGAGCGCCGCCGTTCTTATCGTCAGGTTTTCGCCGCTCCTCGAAATTCTCCACGGACCTACATGCACACACGCATTGGGTGGTACCATGTCGCAACGCGCACGGAGTGGCTTCATGTACAGGCACAACCACAGAAGCGCGTGATTGGACAGCTGGGCATGAATCAATGCGAGACACGCGACAAGACCAAATCGTGCCGAAAATTGCGGAAACAAAAAGAAAGCGGACCCTTCCACTCATCGCCCTCATGAAAACAATCGGTTCAAATACATACGTGCAGTAAGAGGGAGGCATTTCTTCCGTTCTTCTGGAGTAACAATTCTTGTTGGGCGGGTCTCCATTGTTGAAAACGAGCGCGACTAAACGATACGCAAGCAAGGCTACGTCCACATGTGTCCTGTATCCCGTTTGTGGCAGAAGCAGCAACATCCAGCAGGTCGGGGGAAACTACTTCGCAAGCTGCAAACCGGGCCTACTGCTTGTTGCCAATGAGCAGTACTTTACGCCGTCTTTGGATGATACGCTGACAGCCAATCAGGCAGACACAATCAAACATGGCAATCTACATCTTCGTAGACTCTCGGCCGTAGACTCAAGTCCCGAAACATCGCTAGACCGAAACACATCCCACGTGGAGAGTCAGCCACCCTCACCCCCCAATCCCGCCTGCCAAACGCTCACCACTGAGCACACCCTGCGTAGCCTGCGAAGTAAGAACTGCTGTACAAGTGCAACGTCCAGAAAAACAAACACACACACACACACACACACACTCACAAAAAAAAAAAAAACACGAAACGTTCGGTTCAACAGCATATGCCCCCCCTTCCCTGGACGACCGAAGCTTAAAAACCTCGCTCGCTCTTGACAAGCAAAAACCGACGTCCAGCGCACGCACTCACCTCTTGACCTTCGAGCGCACCCGGCGGAACGCGTTGGTCGCCCTCTCCCGTATTCGGTGCTCCTTGTCCGCTTTCCGCGCGGCCTCCGCGGCCTTTCGTGCCGCCTGACACCATCCGAAAGAAACCCACGGGAGGGAGGACAAAAAAAAAAACACACACAGGCAACTGAAAGTCAACAAACTTGAATATTACAGACAAAAGAGGACATTTCCGAGGGTAGGCCAGTCGCACGGTGTATTGAAACTGCCTGACATCCAATCGAAACCGACGGAAGGGAGAGGCGAAACAGGCAACGGAAAGTCAACAGACATGGATATAGACGATGGACATAGACGAGGGAAGACATGTCCAAGGGTAGGTCAGAGAAGACACTTCCAAGGGTAGGTCCGTCGCACAGCAGTGAGGCGAAAGACCGGACAAGCCTGTGTCGCCCTTTCACCTGGTATCTGAATCAACGGTAGCCTTAATGGCGAGCCAATCGTGTCGGAGGACTCGATACCAGTCACTTTTGTACTGCTGTAGACAACGGCGCCCAAGGAGTATTACATACCGGAGTAGTCACCGGGATATTGATTCGGCGATCAGATCATTGTACACACCTACGGGTTATCCAATAAACCAAGGAGTACGATACATCGGACCATTGTCCAATAGGATGTTGAAATGCTGCTACAGGTCGGATAAACCGTCCGTTACAGTGACCGGTACGTCGAAACAGCCCGTGTGTGCTTTCTTTCCGGGATGAGGATGGATGGCTCGCCCCCGTGGTGCTCGCCCCGACGCCCTTACTTCCTTTCTCGTTCCAAACCATATTTTCTGGGTTACAAACAAGTGCACTGCAGTATTTCTGTGAGCCTCTGGACACTGCTGTTCTATGAAGCAGCCATTGCCAGATACAACCAACCAAGCTTTCAACACCACGCAAGGTTTTCTTGCCAACGTATCGCCTCCCTGGAATAACAGAGTCCAGAGAAATCGAATGTACAAAAAATTGATATCCAGCTCGGACAGCAGCTCATTCTCTGTCGTGAGCGAACAGCCAACGATGAAGAACAATGGCTTGCAGATGCACGTTCATCTGTCGGGTTGACTTGATCTCTTTCCGTTTCCCCTCCTCCGCCCTCTAAAAAATCCACAAGCAAGCACCACGAATCTGCGTTTGGTTAACAACGGCAGAGCGCATCCCGCACCCACACACCGCCAAAAACAGCCCACCAGTAGAACAGACAAAACCACCTCGCACTCAACGAAAAAAAGAGCACACCATTACAGCAGGGACAACCTCCTCACAAACAATAACGTAAAGAAGAGCTCACCATTCGAACAACCGACACCGCCTCGACACGTCGGTCAGTCAGCCGACACAACCCCCCCATACACACCTGTTCGGTCGCCTTGGCGGCCTCCGCGGCCCTTTCCGTCACCCGGAGGTCCTTTGTCGTCTTCTGGGCGGCCCTTGCCGTTCTCCTCGCGGCCTCCTTCGCCCGGTGCCTCACGCTGTAGTCGGTGTCGACCTTCTGCACCGCCTGCTTCGCCTTGCCCGCGGCCGTCTTGGCCTTTCTGGACAGCTCGAACTCCCTCTCGAGGGCTCTGCGTGGTTGGGAGGAAGAGTACGCCACGGGCAAACCCAAAGAGGGAAGGAGATGAACGAGTCAGGTAAGGTCAGAGCACCATCAATATATACATTGGTACCGAAAACGTACAGCACCGGAACAACGTGTTGATTCCATGCTGTGTGGTCTTGGCCTTTCCCGGACAGCTCGAAAGCGAGTTCTGTCACAACCGACATCCGGAAACGCCACCGCCGGCGTGTGCTCGTCAGACAAGATGGTGAAAGGACACCGATGGTTGCTCCCCCAGAGCACGGAATATCACAGGGTTGTTCGAGGTGCGTGCGTGCATGCATCTCACAACGGTCGTGCACAAAGAACCCTTGCAGAACGTCCAACCGCACTTCTACTCGACAAACAAATCAAGCAAGCTGAGCGAGCTCTAATACACCAACTATGCCTCCTCCTTGCAGAATGTTCAACCTGAAATTTACGAACAACAAACCAAGCGAGAACGGAAAACGAGCTCTCCCGACACACTCACTGTGCCTTCTCCATCGCCGCGTCTGCAACCGCCCCGGCCCCCTTGGCGACGTTCCCGACGCCGTCCTCCCTCCCGCTGGCCGCCCGCGCCGCCATCGCGCCGATCGCCGCGCCGACGGGGCCCGCCACGAGGCCGCCGACCACCGCCCCGGCTACCGTCGCCCCCGACTTGTTGCCGTCGACGTCGTTACCGTAAGCGGAGGAGGACGACGCCGTGCGAGGGTCATCGGGGTTCGCGCTGCGATAGCGCTTTGCTCTGCCGCCGCCAAAGTCGTCGTCGACTACCTGTGGGGGTGACGCGGGGGTACGGGGTGGGGGGGGTGGGGGGGTGGGGGTGAAATGGGCGCGGAACAAGCATGTGGGTTCCCTGATTTCGGCGCTGGAGCATCCCCGCTGGACACAGCCACAGTACTAGTTGAGGCGGAGATTTCTCCGTCGTGGCACAGCCGCTGCAACGCATCAATGCAATGTACTACAGTACTCCAAAATATAGTTCAGCAGCCGCATTCTTCTCTGCCCATTGCACTCTCTGTATTGCTATAACCTACTGCATGTCCCAGCATTTCTGGGGCCAACTGGGTATGCAAAATGAACTCGTACCTCTCGGTACTGCTACTGCGTGGCTCGAGTTGGAGTTGACGAAGTCGAAAAGACCAGTGAAAACATGACACAGAAGAGAGAGACCTCAGATGACTTTCTATTCTCTGTGCCATCAGCATACTAGGCAATGAGTCATTTTTCCCTCACACTCGTACAAACAAAGAGAGGGTTGTGGGCACGTTCTGCGACACATATGGCTGGATCTCGTTCGATAGTATTTCCTTGGAACAAGACGCACCTTGCGGGCTGTCTATTATTATAGTACCAGTATGTGTGTGTGCGGTGTGCTAAGACGCTGCTTCTCCGATGCTCTCGAACAGTCACGACCAACGGCGCCGATGTCTCGTTGTGCAACCTCTTGCACTTTCCGCAGGCAAAAGCGTAACAAGTCTGACCAGGTTCTCGACGTTACAAAGGTAAGTTGCACTTGTAGTAGGGCGCATCTAATATTAGAGAGCGGGTTCCTGAGGATGAAGAGGCCCAAAAGACTGCTGCTTGCATGATGCGAAAAAAGCTGATTTTGCAAAACAACACACTCTGCAGGCGTGAAAGTAAAAGATCCCCCCGCGCGCCGAACAGACTGGCACAAATACGGAATCCGCACAAGCACACACCTCTCCGAAAAGCACTGGTTCCTGTACGAGATCAGGAGGGGCGTCGAGAAATTCGTACAGCGCGGGCAGGCTCGTGACCACCGGCACGTCGATCAGCCTCCTGAGGTACACCTCGAACACCGCGGGGGAAGAGCCCTCGGGCGGGGGGCCGGGCACCTTCGCGTCCGCCGCGGAGCCCGCGAGCTTCCCCATGAGCGTCACGCCCAGGGCGAAGAAGTCCTTCTCGGAGCGGCTCGCCGTCCAGGTGCGGCGAGTACCGGTGCCGAGCTCCACGTAAGACGCCTGGATGCTGAGGAGCTTGGTCCCTCCCCCGCCGCCGCCGCCGCTGCTGCTGCTGCCGCTATAAGTTGTCGCAGCAGTCCTGCCGTCGTCGGACACGACCCAGACGTCGAGGCCTTCAGCGGCGAGAGACATCCTTGTTGCCGTGGAGGAGAGGGCATTTTCGAGCCTGGAGGAGCGAGAACGGGGCGACGATGGCGACGAGGAGGAGGAGCTGCTGCAACGGCTGTTGATGTCGCCGCGATGATTGCCTGCTCGACGAAAACAGTAGTACTGCTGCGGAAGCGTGGAACATTGTTGAACCGGCGCGGCGCCGGGCTTGTTGCTCCCAGCGGGCTTCGCCGGCGTGGTCAGCCGGGTGGAGTGAAGCAGTGCATCGGCTGCCAGCAACAGGAAGGGGATTAGAGTGGCGGCCGACGCCACCACTGATCGTCGCGTAATCATCGGGACGGGGCGGGTCTGCTACTGACACAAAGCAACGGCAATTTCTGTGTGCAAGGGGGCGACGCAACGGGGAACGGTTGTGTTCCTGGTCCCCGGGGACCGGGGACTGCCCTCGAATATTCAAATATCATCTGCGAAGACTCTGGTCATCTTTTGTCCTTCTGCTTGTCTGCCTGTCGATGCTGTCATGCTTGTCGGTGCTGTGACTGCTGTCTTGCTGTGTAGCGCACGTAACCTTCAGCCACGCAAGCAGGAGTGCAGCAGGAGAAGGCAAGTGGGAGCATAACAACGGAGGGGGAACGGCCAAGAGGTGTGTATTTGTGTGCGTGCGCCGCGTTGTGTGCATGGTGTGTGCTTTTTCGAACAGATCGCCCGGAAAGCTGACTCTAACGGCATGTGTGGTGTATGCATATGATACATATCTTTGACTGGTGTTTTGCTTAGATGTTGAGCACGGTGAGCCAATCACATGTGCGATTCTACAGTCGAGTTGGCTCTATGTACTAGATCCAGTTCGTAGGTTCCGAGGAATGCTTGGTGAACTGATTTCGGTACGCAAATAAATTGTCGTGATTGGGTGGTATTTGCTGCGCGCCAGATGGGATCAATGATCAATGTGGTGTCTTTTTGGCCCGCAGATGCCCTCACAAGACCACCTCCTTTCCTCGTCACAGAACTCGATCGCTTCTCAACCCAATCTCGCAGCAGTGCTATCCGAAACTATGTGGAAGCGTCACACTCAACCCACAACCCTACGGACGGCGAAGTCGCTCATCTATAGCCGAGCTACACTGTAGTCAATCACCTGGGCTGGATGTAGGGGACGTGAAACTCGATATGACATGCTGCAGAGATCGCATCATGTTCGCCGCCGCCGTGCAACTCTCGGGGTCCTCGAACGGAAATTTATCCGCGGGTGGGGTCATCTTACCCGTGTCGTAGATGTTGGGGTCCCTTCATTACCTTTGGGCTGATTCGCTGGTGTTCCCTCTTCCCGGGACTGACCACAAAGTACCCTAAGGTCGTGGCTGGTGATGTTCCCTGTAAGTGCGCACGACCTGCACGCGGCACAACCACACAAGAAACAAGGTGTGAAGGTCATATCTTCTCGACCCGACCCGATCTTCACGCTCTCTGTCACCGTTTTTTTCTTCAAATCGACAACCGGACTGACCCGCTCGTGTATCGTTTGCCGCCCTTTCGCCTCGTTGTCGAATCGTGCAGGTGTTGCACGTTCGTTTGGGTGCGCACGGAAACGTGGTGTCTGTCTTACGTCTTGAGGACGGCATCGCCACGGTCTGTGCCTACAACGGCCGCCGTATCTTGCGGCGCATCGATCCGCAAAGCCTGCGAGATTTTCAGCGGTGGCGAGGCAAACGGTAGCAGCACCCACCAAATCAGCTCCACTCCGCCAAGCTACCGAGTCGGGATACGCCTCTGTTTTTTGGCTACATGGGCTGCTGTAGATGCATCGACTCTTCCGAGGAGCGGAGGAATCCAGCGAGGTTGATGGCAACGTCAAGGAAGAGATGTGGACGGATGGTATTCGAGGTGCTGAAACAAGGAAGGGAGAGCAAGCATTGGGCGGTTCACCTCTAGGTGAGAGCTGCCCCCTGGACGGATGCACGCGTAAACCTACCCACGGTGTTAAGGGCAAGAAGGCAGTGTTCTGTGTGTCACATATAATTGCGGGCTCGGTCAATGTGACCAAGGAGTGCACCGCTGACGGTTGTTTCACGGGTGCGAAGTTCGGCGTGGCGGGCAGCAAGAAGGAAAAGTTTTGTTCGAAACATGCGCCAAGCGGCGTGGTGAACTTAGCCGTCACGAGTTGCGCTACCGAAGGTTGCTTCATGGACATGGTGCAGCAGGCAGCAAGAAGGAATCCTGCGCGATGCATCCAAAGGAGGGGATGGTCAACATGAAGTCCAAGAAGCGCATCCGAGAAGGCTGCGGGAAAGGAGCACTGTTCGGCATGCCCGGGGAAAAACGATTGTTCTGCAGCCAGCATGCTTCACAAGGAATGATCAGCTCCAAGCGGATTTGCAAACATGAGGGCTGCCTTCAGAGATCCATCTATGGTGTTGCGGGTACCAAGATGCCGGTGGCCTGCTCTGGGCATGCCGCCCAGACTATGGTCAATGTTGTAAACAAGAAATACGCCCCAAGTTGGCTGCCAAAAGCAGCCGACCCATGGCCTGCAAGGTTCCAAGACGCGGGAATTCTGCTTCGCGCACGCTCCGGCGGTGATGATCAATCTGCACATCAAGATGTGTGGTCGCGAGGGATTTGAAAACAGAGGAGCCACGGGGTGGTGGGTACTGAGCAGCGGGAGTTTTGTGACGAACACGCGGTTTTTGGTATGGTCTCCTTGCTCGGCAGAAGGTGTAGCCACAAGGACTGCTCCAAAAGGGCGAGCCACGGATTGGCAGAGAATAGGAAGAGATAAATCTGCGCGATGCATTCCCTGGAGGGAATGATCGTGATCCCACGGACATCGAGGAGCCGACACAAGCGATTCCGGGACATGGACAACGACGCCGCTCGGCAAGATGATGCCCCTTCTACCGTGTCGGAAGGTTCGCCGTCTCCAGTACAGCTAGCGGACGGGGAGCAAGAACAATCACGACCGGCAACGGCAGCAGATGGGTCGGCAGGATCAGCAACACTTCTAGAGACTGAGGACAAACGGAACCCTTTGCCACTCGTCGCCACGTACGAGAACTCTTGATTTATCGATCAAATGGCGCTGCTGTCTTGCTGGGGCGGAGAAGTGTTGGGGGAGAACTTGCATACATGGCACGAGGAAAGGGTGTCCGATACACTGGTGGCATTGCATTGTGGATGCATTTCGGCACAGGGTTAGGGTTCGGAGATTGCGGTCGTATAGATTGGGTGGAGTAGGAGAACTGCAGTGCCCGACGATTCGCAACTCTTTGCCGAACGTGCGTCGATCTTCTTGCAGTCTATCAAGAAATGTTTTGTCTGCACAGCACATGTTTTCGTATTTTTTGCATTTATCGCGCCGATCCTCCCAGTGTGTGGCAGTAGTAAGGTAGGCGTGTCGTGGACTCGCCGTGGTGTATGTACTGTAGCTGGAGTGTCCACGCGTTACTCGAGGCTCTTAACCTCTTGGTAATAACCTCAGCAGTGATTGCAAAACAACGTGGTCGAAAATGGCGATCTCCACTGTCCGGGTATCAATCTCGAAAGGTTTTTGTGGCATCTAAGTACATAGACGCTTCCAGGAAACGTCGCGACGCAGGCGCAACCTTCGCCCCATTTCACCAAGACCAGCCCTACGCTGCACGCATCAAGTGCACGCCAATCTAGTGCCTAACCACGGACAGTGTGCGAGCTCAAGTACAATACAACTGGGGCGTTAGGGATAGGATTAGGGTATGGGGTAGAAGCGAGATAAACATTGTGTATCTAAGGCGGGCAACGATCTGCTTCGGACGCACGCAGACGGTGGACTCGGTTTTTGCCTTTGGTTTCCTCCACCGCCGACCAGCCTCCCGGCGAAACGTTGGGCGATGAAGCCTACCCGAAGTAAAAAAGAATGGGAATCTGAGAACAATCCTCTGCCAATCTTTGTTTCGACCTATCTATGCACGTCGTTGCTACTGACTGACCCCGGGACCACGTTTGATGGTAAAGGATGGGAGTAAGGGAAACAGGGGCGCGGTGACAAGCTCTCCAACAGTACGAAAACACTGTTCACAAGCTCTTTAATGCGGACCCCGAAAAGTCAACAACCTATCTTGGGGGTCCCCCGAGAACTATTTTCTGACAAAACCCCTGTCAGATACGGTTAGCGCCTGCACTCAAGAACTTGACAGTCAAGAACTTGAAATACATGTAGCCTCGAAAATCTCCAAACCTAAGAACTTGAGCACCATTTGTGAGCTCGATTAAGAATAGATACACACTAAAACCTATATAGTGGCCATTCGTCACATGACCATAGGAACAAAGGACCCGAGCCTCGGTCAAGAATAGAGGTTCCTACGTGAGGGCGCTAACTGTACAAATCTGGTCGGGCAATGGGTTGTTCATTTGCAACTCCTGAGGGGATCACGTGCGCATGTCCCAATTTTGATTTTCGGGTCGTAGCCCTTTCGGTTTGAAAAACGTGAGGATCCGTTGCCCGGTAAATACCAAAATCACATCGATTGACCCAAGCATCCCTGCTAACATGTGGCCACATCACTGATGAATGCAAATCCTGCATTGATTATGGGAAACACACATGGACGACTGAAGCTCACTCCGCGCGTCCTACGTCAAACCGCCCCACAATAAGTCGCGAGGGAAGGGATTGCTGTACCCTTCTCGCGATAAAAATATCTCAGGCAGGAGCCGGAGGAGGGGGTCCAACCCCCCCCTCCTATGTGACCCCGGTTGGATCGTCTAGCTAGTAGAAGAGGATAGGGGCCAGAGGGGCAGACGACAGATCCAATGATGGGAGCAAAAAAAAAAAAACTGCAAGTACCTATTTTGCCATCTTTGCCGTGTGCCGACCCGCTCGTAAGACTGTCAACGTTCTTCGAAATATCTCAAGGCTCATCTTGTTTTGGAAATTTGAGCAATGACGTTTGGAACTGCGCCCAGCCGTCAGCATCACCCGAAATCCATGACCACTTCGCAACAAGAACCGTAGCCTTTTGCTCAATCGTTGAGACTTTTAAGGTACAGAGCATTTAGCTAATAACACGTGTTTTCTTGACCTGGCCCGCACTCACTCAACTATTTGAAAAAAACAGTACAAGTATGATAAAAGGAACCACCTTCCGCCTAACAACACGCCCAGCTCCCAGAGCTCCGTTGGTAGAGCGCGGCTCTGATAAAGCCGAGGTCCCGGGTTCGAACCCCGGTGGGAGTATATTTTTTTGTCCTGGTGGACATTTCACCTAACGAAGAGCTCCGAGGCGTATCATTTACGCATTATTAGCATGCAAAAAAAAGCTTCGGTGTTCACCCCCTCCTGTGCGACCCTCGATGGTTTTATGCGTAGTCAAGGGTACACGTGAAAAAAATTCAAGACACATATGCATAGGCCAACTAATCGAAAACCGGGGTCATTCGGCGGGGGGGGGCAAATTTGGGGGGCGGGGGGCGGGGATATATACATACTTCGAAGTACCCATATAACCATATACCCATGTATCCCCGCTATTATAGCCCACCAGTCGCCCGTCGCCGTGTGGCCGATTGGCCCAGTTGAACGTATGTAACCCTGCAAGAAGACCAAGGCTAGTATATTTATTTGCGAGACTATGTTCCCTGTTGTGCAGTGCTAGAGGAGGCGGCAAGGGCAAGTTTGAAAGGCAGGTGGTTCAATGTGAAAGCTGGTCAATGACCTGTTCCAATTGAATTGACTGACTACTGCCGTGTAGACTAAATAGTAACTACTGCTTTCTTCGTAGATATTAGGCGCTACGCGAACTGTGTAGGCTGCTTGTTTCCGTGTTCCTGTAGTAACACGGCTGGGTGATGAGTGTGGGCCGGCATCGATGACGAGGAAGTAGATGCAGAGCGGGTACCGAGAGTGAGGCACGCTTGCCATCCATCTACTACTACTTACTGCAACCTCATGGTAATTTTTCGATTCCATGGTTGGTTGTAGGTAACTTTTCGAATTTCTTCCCCCTCCAGGGGGGGGGCGGGGACTATGTGTCCGGATTTTTTTTCCGCGTGCACCGTTTTTGGGAAAGCGGAGCCAAACTGGAAAGAGGTCCGCCTGTGCCAGTGCGAGGTCAACAATTAATTGGCAGGTGCTAGTGCTTGTTTTGCTCCCTCGTTGACGCACTGACAGCGGGCGGACATGTTGACTGCCATGATGCCCGGCGCCATTCCTCCAAAGTACAGCGCATGGCTTGTCGGTACGTGTACCACGACGATAATGGGTGCCTGTCGAGAGCGTCTCTCACAGAAGAGTAGCCACCCAAACAATTGTTGTCCAACTACTACACGAGTAGGCGCTATGGGCGAGGCAAGAAGAACCTCGCTCATGTAGTCACATACCCGTACATGTTGACCGATGAGAGGCCCCGTAGATCAATACCTGCCGAGAGTCCACAATAACACGACACAGCAACTTCGGCCTCACAATGCATGGGCCTAACCGCCTTCGCCCGACCCTTCGGACAAGTACCTTCGCACATCGTCTACATGTCTTGGACGACATGCTCTACTGAAGTCATTTTGACCAAGTTTCTACAGATGCGAAGCGCCGAGACCGACCGTCGAGAGAGCGACAGCACCAAGGGCACACAAAAATAAACTCCCGTGGACACACTCCACTTTTTTCATTTCTGCCCATTGTAGCTGAGGACGGGCTCTAACGCTGATTCTTATACACCTGATTTTCTTTCCCAAAAAGCTTCGCCTATTTTTCAGGATGGGCAAAAATCCGGCTTCTTATACAGCCAGATTCCTCAGTTTTTGGGTCGACAAAATCCGGGTTCAGCTTTTTGGGTGGCCTCCACCCGAAAAGTTTGGAAGAAATCAGGATGGTGCCCACCCAGATTTATTTCTCATCCCGAAAAGTTCACCGCTGGGTGAACCCAGACGACATAATCGGCGAGTGCGACCTGAGTTCTTGACGTATCGCTCCCATCAAGGGCTCCGAGTATCCCTACGCCGAAGGGCTTGCTATTCTGCACGCTGGCTGTTGATGATCGCTCGGCACGCGTGCGTAAAAAGAACATATCGCATCACACCAAGCATGGAGATGATGCCGAAACAGGCCAAACCGCCACGAGACAGCAAAAAGAGCCGCTTTTTGTCAGAGAGGGGAGCACACCGCAACTAACTGATTTCTCGCTCCCTCGGCCACCGATCGAAGCCAGACCGGTCAGGGCGTGCTCTCTGTTTCTTGCTCTCCGCCAGAGTATGGTTGCTCAGCAACTCGTTGACCCAATCATTCGAAATCGTCGTCTGCGTGTACACAAGCTGACGGTTGAAAATTGTTTCCAGGCCTTCAACACGTTATTCTCAAGTGAAGCAGACCAGGAAAAAATCACAGTTCGAAAAAGCAACGGGCACCACGCGCATGCTTCTCTCCGTCGATCGAGAGTACGCGCTGCCGAGCAACCATACTCTGGCAGAGAGCAAGGAAC